TCTTACTGCTCCTGTTTTTCGAGTGGTTAAGAGCTTGTTCAGCTATTGAGTTTTAGTGTTTGCCTTTTCCCCAGCCTGACATCTATCCAGGGAACTGCTGGGCGTTCAAAGGCTCCCAGGGGTACCTCGTGGTGAGGCTGTCGATGAAGATCCACCCGACCACCTTCACCCTAGAGCACATACCAAGGACTCTGTCACCCACGGGGAACATCACCAGCGCCCCCAAGGACTTCGCGGTCTACGTGAGTGCACCCCGTCCCGGGGCGGCCCTCCTCACCCCGTCTGGGAATCTCCTGGAGACGAGCCCTGCAAACGCTGGGGACTTGAGTATATTACCGGCGTCGCTGTCCCCCCCTCTGCCCACTGACCTCCGAGTAGCCAGTAAATGTGGAGGGAGACGTTCCAGGGCTTCCCCAGGGAGGGAGGCTTGGGGCACAGGGGGACGACAACAGCCCGGCTGTGGGAGGACTGGCCTCTCATCTGCTCGGCCGTAAAGTCTGTTCTGACAACACCGTGAGGCTGAATGTACAGAACAGAATGAGGACGTTGGGAAAAGGACATCCAGAATCCCAGCACCTACAGAAGTCACCATTAACACTGGTATTTTCCCTTAAAAAGTGCAGTTGAGGGACTTCCCTGGCAGTCCAGTGGTTAAGACTCCACGCTTCCACTGCAGGGGCCACGGGTTCAGTCCCTGGTTGGGGAGCTAAGATCTCGCATGCCGAAAAAGAAGTACAGTTGAGACAATACCATTCATAAAAGTTCACTTCCTGCCTTAAAGAAACAAATTGACCGTTAAGTATTTGTCCATGGCATTGAGCTTTACTGTACCAGTTTCAGGTGTACAGACAGCAGCAGCATCTGAAATCTGAACACATTAGAGCGTCACCACCAGTCGCCCACGCTGGACCCCTGGCCCTCTCACCCGCAGGGTGTGAAGTGAGATCTTCACCTGCTTCTTTAAAGAGCAGCCCAGAGTGCCCTTGTCCACGGCCCCCGTTCGCCGTTGTTGACTGTTTCCACTCCCCACGTTTCAGGATAAGCCTCTTCACTTTTTGGTGATCCTTCAGGCTAGACACTCAGGTGGCGTTATGTTTCAGGGGTTCAAAGGGGGCCTTGGATTCATCGCACCATACGCGTTGTTAGTATGAGAAGCGTTCCTTATCTTGTAGTTCCCTTTCTAATTGAGTCCTCTTTCTAAATCTCTGCTAATTCGATAGATCTTACTTTAATCTACATTTCTATGTATTTCACATGCATGTTTCCTTTTTTGTAGATTCTGGTTTTGTTTCTATTCATTTATCTTTCGGTATCTTAGTTTCCTTATGAATATTTGAGCTTTTTAATATAAAAATATTAATCATGTGTTATTCTGTTACAGATATACTTCCCACTGTCAGTCTTAATTTTGTGTTTAGTTACACCTGCTCATTACCTGTAATTTCTTCCATGGCATTTTTGTACCTAGAAAGTCCTTTCCCTTTATGAAATAGACATTCAAATTAGTCACCTGTACTTCCTACTTGGTTACTTTTTTATTGTGGGAAAATACACAGAACATAAAACTTACCATCTTAACCGTTTTTAAGTGTGCATGCAGTTCAGGGGCATCAAGTACATTCATGCTGTTGTAAAGCCGTCACCACTGTCATCTCCAGAATGCTTGTCATCTTCCCAAACTGAGACTCTGTCCCTGTTAAACACTGTCTCCTGTCCCCCAGCCCCCCGGTGCCTGTCCTCTTCTTGGCTGTGTGAGTTGACCTCCTTGGGGCCCCACACTCTGCTGACCTGCTCTCCTTTCCCCAGGCTCATCACGTGCCCCTGGGTTTCCACTTGGGAGCATGGAGGGCTACAGTGGGCCACGTGGGTGTCGAGTGTGTTCTGCTACCTGTTAGCTTGCCCTCTCCCAGCTTCAGTTTTCCTGATCTGTATAACGGGAGGAATAATGCCTACCTCACGGGCTTTGTGATCTGCGAGAAGCCCTTAATAAAATGCCCAGCACAGAGGGCCTTACTTTAATGGAACAGTAATTTCCCTCTCCCAGTTACCTCACTAACCGTTTTTCCTTTATTTAGTGACTAGATGGTTTTGTTTCAGGGATTAGAAAATGAGTATCAAGAAGAAGGGCAGCTCCTGGGACAGTTTACCTATGATCAAGAAGGGGAGTCACTACAGATGTTCCCTGCCCCGGTAAGGATCCTTGCGCTTCACACAGGCTTCAGGCTCCCGGGTCTCCTCACTGCTGCCTGCATCCACAGGACCTGCCAACACTCACAAAAATGCCCACAGGGTGTGAGGGCCAAATTCTGAAAAAGTGGATCTGAGCTTCCTAGCTTTTCTGTTCCTGAATGAAACTTTTTAGTATATAATTTGTTCTGCATAAATGTGTCAAGGGTGATGAGTTCTCAAGAGTTTCACCTGAACTTTGTGTCCTGTGATAGATGATATAGTTCACGTTAAAAGCTTAATCTCCAACTTGGCTGTTTAATCTCAAATCTCTTACCTGGGGAAGTGATTGGGCTTGGTGGTAGTAATATGAAATAAATGTGTTTTGTTTTTGTTTTTTTTTCCCCTCCTCAATTGCAGAAAAGACCAGAAAGAGCTTTCCAAATAGTGGAACTTCGGATTTTTTCTAACTGGGGCCATCCCGAATACACGTGTCTTTACCGGTTCAGAGTTCACGGAGAGCCTATCAAGTAAAGAGACTACTCACTGTTCTTGTACATTTTGTATATACTGGGACAGCCTGGAACACTGGAATCCTTCACGGACACGGGCATAGAGAGAGCAGTATAACGTCACCCCTGAAATAAACGCACTGACTGCCAGCAGGACGTGGGTGTGGAAGCGATAAATGCCGACACCCAGCTTGCTGTTCTGTCCACAGGAAACACTGCATGTTGACTGCTTGGGCTCAGAGACCCGCTAGCTACAGGTGGTCTCTGTGGAGATTCATCTGAATGTATAGTTCACAAAGATACTTACTTTTGGCCTCTGGGGGATTTGTTTTTGAACATAAAACTCTTTGTATTTGCTTGACATCAGTAACAAAGCAAAGGAAGTTAAAAGGTTTGGAGTGTTCTTGAAGCCTTGACAGCGGCCTTCACTGGCCCTTTTAAAAAGGACCTTTTGGGGCAGATATGTGTTCAACCCAGCACACGTTTCTTTCAGGGAAGAACAGTGTCACCAAAGTTCAGAGTTCTGAACTCCCTTTCTTTAGGGTGAGATTCTCCTCTGTTCGGCACCAGTAGTTCTTTCAAGTCACCAGGTGGGGAAGTAATGAAAACGGGTTCTCCTGCCTAGTTTGCTCCCACTTCTGAGAAAGATTTTCCGTCAGGGCTTGGCGTGTGAACATCCGTTCAGGAACCCTGGAGAGTTTCCCTTTGCAGGTTGAAGTGGGTCTGCTTCGAAAGGGGATGGTCTGGATCTACGCAAACATGTAAATAGAGTTCTCAGGTCTCCACTGGGCTCATCCCATCAGATTTTCCCTGCAGTTTTACTTCACACTATGAATAGGAACCAAGAAATCCAATCTTTTGGATATGTTCAGGTTTTGTTTTGAATTTTTCTGGAAAAGCAAACACTAACATGCTCTAAGTCTTTTCAGAGGTTTATGCTTCTATTCCACTGATGGTTATTAAAGGAGATTGTCCGGTGTGGCAAATTCATAAAACCAGGACATTTGGTGATTAGGTTTTCTTACAGCAGCACTTTGTACTGGCTCTGGTTGGGATTTGCCTTTTATTACAGCTGTTGGCCATTCTCTCTCAATTCCTGTGAGACTTGCTTTGGTTATAATTAGTATTTAATATTTAGACTATTTTACTGAGCAGACTTTATAAATGAGATATCTGCAAGGCACTTAAGGTGTTACAGATGTTTTACCTTAAAAATTATTTAAGTTTTATTGGGTTAAGACAGTCTTTTGGTGTACCATAAATGTTGTATTTTCAGAAAAAGATAAAATGATGGTGCTGACTGGTTTTCTGAAGAGTTTTATGTATATTGCACAACAGTCCTCAGATATACAAAAACTACATAAACTAGCATTTTTTTCACTCTTGTTAGAATTGAAACTAATGCCTATGCAGTTAAGTTGGGTAAAACGTATACAGATGTTTCATATATTACAGGATACATATATAGATCAAAATTTCCTATATAAAACTAAATTTGGGAGATGGGGTGGAAATATTTTGAATATTAATTTATTTTTAAAGATGAGAGATAGGACTTTGTGCAATGTATTTTTGTAAATGCTTTTCAAAATATTTGTCATTGGTAGAGCTTCTTTTCGCTGCCACCAAATTGGTAAGATGCTATCGAAACGTTTAAATAAAGAGCTTTAATTTTTAAAAAAATGCATGTGATATTTCAGATGAACAATAAACAGTGTGTTTCTTTTCTGTACCTGCTTGGTCTCTGCCCCGGGCGGGGAGGGGAACACAGCGCGTGGAGCGGCCCCTCCCAGGACCACTCTGGGCCGGGAGCGCGTCCGGCCCGCGTTGTCGGGCCGCCGGACTCGGAGCCGCGTGCGTCCCCGCCGTGCGCGCCCCGCTCGCGGGCGTGTCTCCGCGCTTCCACACGAACCACTTACGAGAGAAGAGCGGCGTGTTTGGGTCTCGGACGTCGGGGCGAGCGCTGATCCGGAGCGCCCGAGTGGGAAAGCTGACCCGGGACCCCGAGCCGCCGGCATACCCAGAAAGTATTCATTGGAAAGTCTAAATACCTCAACGGCCTCAGTTACAGCAAGGACCACCCTCCCTGCGCCTGAGCTGCATTTTCCCAGCCGTCTGCCCGCCATCGTAGTGCCAGCTCCGCCCCGCGGGGTCACGTGCCGCCCTCAGCCGCGCCCCCGCGGTCGTCGTCTGCAGGCCGCGCCGTCACTCCGGAGCCCCGCCCTTTGATCGTGTGCCCGCCCTCCCCGTGCTGCGCGGGCACGCCCCTCGGTCACGTGGCCGCCCGCGTACCGCCAGCGTACCGCCCGCGGCTCCTTGTGAGCCACCGTAGAAGGCTTCGGGCGGCCGCCGGGACGGAAGCCGCGAGGCGCCGCCGACCGCGCCTGCGACAGCGTCAGCCCTGCGCGGAGCGCCGGCCCGATGGCGGCGGCGGCGATGGCCGAGCAGGAGAGCGCCCGGAACGGCGCCCGCAACCGCGGCGGCGTCCAGCGCGTGGAGGGCAAGCTGCGGGCCAGCGTCGAGAAGGGCGACTATTATGAGGCGCACCAGATGTACCGGACCCTCTTCTTCAGGTAGCCACTGCGCCGCGGCCGCCGCCTTCCAGGGCTTTCCGCCCGGCCGCCGAGTCCGGTGCCCCGCCCTCGGCCGCTTCCCATTGGCCGCGCCGCGCCGCCCCGCGCCCCCATTGGCCCGTGCCGCTGCCCGTCGCCTGGGCGGTGGGAGCAGGGGCCGTGCGGCGTCCGGGGGAGAGCTGCGGCCGGGGAGCGAGACCCCGGACCCCGACCCAGAACCGTGACCGAGACCCCAGACTCCGCCCAGACTCTGGACTCAGACGCAGACTGAGATCCCAGACCCAGCCCGGACTCTGGAAGCCGACGCAGACCGAGACCCCAGACCCGGCCCAGATTCTGGACTCCGGCCCAAACCCCTGGCCGAGCCCCAGACCCAACGCAGACCCCTGGTCAAGACCCCAGACCCGGCCCAGACTCCGGATCCCGCCCCAGACCCCTGATCCGCCCCTGACTCCGGACCCAGACCCAAAGCCCTGGCCGAGACCCCAGACTCCGGACCCAGACCCGAACCCCAGACGCAGACTCCGGACCCCAGTCCCCGGCCCAGACCACCCTTCCCCTCCCCCGCCCCGAGCGCCTTTGGGTTTGAAGCCCCAGCTCCGAGTTCCACGGTTTTCCTGCCTCTGGGAGTCCCGTCGCGAGGCTGTAAACGTCTTTCTCCTCTTGTGTAGCCCTTGCTCACCCGAGTGTCTTGTTACTAAACCAGCTGTTCCCATAAAGCCGGTATTTTTGTTGTACCTGCGCTGCCTGGCCACGTGCGGCAGTTGAGCTTCTGAAATGTGAGTCCCTAACGGCCTGGGCGGTGAGGGTAAAAACACGGCCTTCAAAGACTTAGCGCAGAGAAAATGTCAGGTATTAGGAACCTTCAACTCTTGATCGCACGTTGAAGTGATGCTTGAATATATTGGATTAAATAAATGTCTTTTTAGTGTGGCCTTAGGAATTTAGGTTTTCTTAAACCTAGCTGAGTTTTCTTTTGGACTGCAGTGTGTCACACCGTTTCTGCTGTCATGCAGCTACTGCTGTAGTTTTTTAGTTCTTACAGGTGTAAGGCATTCCTGTATATTACACACGTTCTGTTAGCCTTCAGGTTTCTTGCCAGAAAACATTTGAGACACTCGTTAGCATTTAAAGATAGTTTTAGAGGATTTCGTCTGTTCTGTGGAATGCCTTTTCGTCCTAAACTGCTGCAGAACAGCAAATACTTTGCTATGATATCTAAAGGCATTCATGCCTGCCTTACACCATTTAGGCCTAGATTTAAATTTTTTCTTTAAATAGCAAGTTGAATCAATATTTTGGGAACTCTGGCAGTACTTTCTGCTTTGGTTGTAGTTGGGTTTAGACGTAACGCTTCGTGTCCCAGACCGAGTTTGAGCTCTGTCGCCAGAGGACCCGGTAGGGGTGAGTTGATTGTTCTTCACGGGATGAGCCAAAGATGTAAGTAGGCTCTAAGGTCTGTAACGTCGAGCTTTCGGCCTGGCAGCTTAGCCAGTCAGATCTGTGTGATGGGGAGCTTTCGTAGCGCTCAAGATTTGTCGTGGTGCTTGCTTTTCTTGGGGACTTTTATATAAAGTATTTGCCCCGGTGACTAGTCAGCAAAACTGGATCTTCCCGAAGATAAACACGGTGTTCCTTGTTTTGAGCCAGTTCTGCAGTTGCTGCTGTACCAGGAACGTGATTGTTGATTAGCTTTGAAGAGGCCAGTCTCTGTGCGCAGAGTGTGCTTTGTGGTGACGTGGGGACAGATGCAGGCTGTCCACCAGCCCGGCCTTGACCTGGGTTCGCATTCTCTCTCTGCTCTGTGACCTGTGATCCAGGACTTGTTGAATCTCTTCTCTGAGCCTTGGCTTCCTCTTTGATCTTTTAGGGGTTCTTACACCTCTTCAGAACTCCTGAGAAGTAAGTGGTCTCCTGTGGGCCTCTTTGGGGGATGCGGTGAACTCAGGCACCGTAGCAGTTGTGGCCGTCCGGGGGCCCAGCTGAATAGGCCTGGAGTCGTCCCTGTCTCTGCTGGGTACAGTCCACGTTCAGACCTGCGCTTGCAGCCCTGGTTTAGAGCTCTGCACGGGGGCCCTGAGAAGTCAGCTTTGCTCTTTTGATGTTTTTCTATAAATAAGTGCTTTTAAGTGTTTATATAAAATGTAAAACTTGATGGGTTTGGACATATGTACACACCCAAGAAATTATCACCAATCAAGGTACTGAAAATACCCATCATCCCCAAAAGCTTTCTCATCTGCCTTTACAGTGAATTCTTCACCACTTGCCCCCAGGTGCCCGCTGATTTCTCTGTCTTGGTAGATGGGTTTGCGTTTTCTGGAGTTTTATGTATGTAGGATTGTAGAGTACGTCCTCTTTTTATGTGGCTTTCTGAATTCCCTCAGCACGATCATTTCAAGATTCGCCTTTATGTGTATCGTTAGTTAATTTCTATTGTTGAGTGCTGTTCCATTGTATGGGTGGACTACAGTTTGCCCATTCACCTGCTGGATAAGTTCACCAATCTGTGGTATTTTAATTCACTTACACTGTGTCCCCCAGCAGTTTGAGGAGGGGAGGAGGAACTGGGCAGCCCGGGAGGTTGGACTTATGGGGGGTGGGGTGCCGCCGCCCGGGGCAGGAGCCAATGGTTCTGAGAGAGGCTGAGCTCCGTCTCCTCGAAGGTGCGGGTGCCCAGGGCACTCCCTTGTCTCTTCAGCCTTCTCTCTGCAGGGACGGGAGAGGGTCCATTTTCTAGGCCTGATGGGTTGTTGGTACTTTGGCGACTGCTCTGTAGGGTGGCCTGTGGCCTGGAGGGGCCTCTGCACCCGCCAGGATTTAACTGTGAAAGGGGCCTCGCTGCCCAGGGGCCTTCCTGAGATGAGTGTTGATTGTGGGTGTTTTGTGTCTTAAATCAAATGAAGAAATTTTTTGAAAGAGGAACTTCAAACCTGTGTACTCAACCACCTGGGGGTAGGATGGAGCGCCCGGGAGAGGGCGTGGGGTAGACACTGCGTCTGCGTCGTTAGTGTTAACGCTTGTGTCTGTGCTCTGCTTTAAAAAAAAAAAAAAGTGCAAAATGAACGATTGCACAGACGCAGCGCGGGGGGGGGGGGGGCTGCGGGGGGGGAGGGGCGGTGGTGCTCTGAGCCCCCAGGCCTCGGTGGCACCCCGTCCCCTCCGGCTCGGGCACCGGGGAGCCACATCCGCCCTTGCCAGGGCTCTGCGGTGCCCAGAGAGCACGTCCGGCTTTCAGGGTGCCTGTCACTGCTGCAGGGTTTCCAGCTCCAGGCCCCCTCCTGCAGGGCAGGGCTGCCCAGGGCTGTGCGGCTTTGGTCACTGGGGAAGCCGCCCCAGGAATCCAGCCTGTCTGCCTCTCAGGGCTCTGCTCCCTCCCCGACTTTCTAGGCATTCATCTCTTGCTCTGCCTGGGGAGGAGAGTCTGGAGCCCTGTCGTGTCCCCAGAGCTGAGCGGGGCTGCGTGACTGTCCCCTAGGAGGCGTGCCCGCCGTCCGGACGTCTGTGCCGGTGGCGGCGTGAGGGCTTATTTTTCCAGAAGCCCCCATTCCGTGCCCACGCCCCCAGGTGCCCCGTCTGCCCCTCGAGGTGCGCGGGATTCTCCTCCTGGTCCAGCCCGGGTGCTGACTGGGACGAGGCTGCTGCTCCCGAGCCTGGTGCACAAAAGTCCTTTTCTGTGGTTGGTCCTGGCCTGAGCCTCGGGCCGTGAGCCAGAGGGCAGCGGGGCTCCCCTGGCTCCGTCTCCGTCTCCAGCGCGTGCCTGCAGGCCTCGTCTCTGACTCCGCTTGTCTGGGCCGGGACGCAGGTCTGACCGGCTGGGCGGGTTTCCTTCCTGATTGTCCCTGAGAGGAACGTGCAGCCGAGGGCTCGGTGTCCTGCACTCAGCTCGGGCCTGGCCCTGCCCCCCTGAACGTCTGTCTCACTTGTGGACGGAGCATCCTTTCTGTCCCGTGTGTGCCAGGTTGCCTGTCAGGCTCTCATCTGTCTGCAGTTCGGGAAGCCGGCTTTTCCCAGCTTCCATCCCTGGTGAGAAACGTCCCAGGTGGAAAGTGGTCGGGGTGGAGGGGGCAGAAGAGGGGGCGGCCCGGCAGGCCCTCGGCCCCAACATGTGGCCCTCGCCTGGTTCTCGCTGCCCCTCACCACAGCCAGGCCTGTGCTTGAAGCTGGAAGTGGCCCCCGGCCCCTCGCTGGTCCCTCTGCTGAGACCCCTGCCCAGCTGCAGGGAGGCTCTGCTTCTGGCCCGTTTGGGCGGAGAGAGTGCCTGGCACACTGTGATCAGACGGCGCTGCTGCTGCCGCGGGGCGCCTCGTGGGCGGGAGGGCTGGGCCGTGGGCGCCCAGCGCCGAGCCTGGACAGACAGGGGTCGGGGGCAGCTCCGGGAGGTGCCCTCGGGACCTGAAGCCCAGCTCCGCTCCGTTCTCAGCGGAGGGGTATGTGGGGCGGGTGTTCGCTTCCTACTCGGATGCCGAATCTTTGGTATCTCATCTCTGAAACCAGCCCTGTGAGTCTGGTGGCCGTGCTTCGGCGGCCTGTGAGATCCCGGCCCTGGCCGGCCCTGCTCTTCTCTCCGTGCAGGTACATGGCCCAGAGCAAGCATGCCGAGGCCCGCGAGCTCATGTGCTCAGGAGCTCTGCTGTTCTTCAGCCACGGCCAGGTGAGCCGTCTGCCCGGGGCCAGGGTTGGCAGGGGGGGCCAGGGAGAGGCCTGGTGGGCAGCCTGGGCTGAGCGCCCCTGTGTCCCAGCACCAGTGTGGGGCCTGAAGGCTAGTGGCCTTGGTGCTCAGAACCACCTCTTAGGTGCAGTCGGTCGCTGGTTTCTAACTGGAAACCAGAGCCACTGCCCAGCCTCACCGTCTTCTGAAAACGGGCCAGAGCCTCGCGCCCACTGACGTCCTTTTCTATGTTTTATAGCAAAACAGTGCAGCTGATTTGTCCATGCTGGTCCTGGAGTCGCTGGAGAAGGCGGAGGTCGAGGTGGTCGAGGAGCTGCTGGGTGAGATGGAGTGGACACGCGTGCCGTTGCCACATCACCACGCCATTCCCCTGCCCCCACCCGCCCAGACGCACCCAGCCTCCCTGGCGCGTGGTGGGTGCCACGTGGTCTGGAGCCCCTGCCCCGTTGGGCGAGCCCTTCTGCGAGCTGCCCGGCCGGAGAGGCGCGCGCGGATCCCCACTGGGGCGGCCCCCCTCCCTTCTGCTCCCCGACACAGGCTCAGCTGTGGGGAGGCGTCACAGTGAGGACGGTTGGGGTGGCCCCAGGACCCTCCCGGTGTGCCTGCCGCTTCTCCGCTTTCTTTCAATGTGAAACAGTTGTTTTTAATTAATTTCTGTGAGATGCATAACACAGCAGCAGCAGCCACGGCTTCCTCTGGGTCAGGCTTGTGTGGGTGTCGTTTGCAGAAAGTCTGGCCAAGCTGTTCAGCCTGATGGATCCCAACTCCCCGGAACGAGTGGCATTTGTGTCTCGAGCCCTGAAGTGGTCCAGTGGGGGGTCCGGGAAGCTGGGCCACCCCCGGCTCCACCAGCTGCTGGCCCGCACCCTGTGGAAAGGTAGGCCGTGGGTGGGCGGGGGCCCCTGCGGGCAGGTGGGCCAGGGAACAGGCGGCCCTTCTGATGCTCTCCGGGCCGCTGCTGGCGGGGTCCGTTCGGATCAATTGCAATCACCTGTGCTGCTGACGGGGGGGGGTTGGGGGTGGTGGCCCTCGGAGTCCCAAGCCGCTGCTGCTCCGCGTGTGAACACCTGCTGCGCTCGGGTGGGCGGGGCATTCCCTTTTATGGAGCTTTCGGTCCCCTGCCGGCCACCCGCTCCCCCGTGCTGGGGCCTCCTTCCAGGACGTCCTTCCTTCCCCTGGTCCTTCCCCCGCTGGCGTTCTGCCAGCACTCCTCTTGTCTTCTAAGTGAGCGTTTGCGGGGGCTGTTCAGTCCACGAGAGGGGGTCACGTCCCGGGCTCAAGCAGAGGAAGGGGAGCGGCCTGAGTCGCTCTTGGGCGGGTGTGAGGGGGTTGTGCCACCTGGGGCCTCACGTGGAGGCCGTGTGTGCAGCTCATCCATGTGGTGGTCGAGGGGTCTGGGCCCCACCGGCCAGGTCGGCTCTGTGCCTCGTCCTCATGGGCCGTCACCTGGGCGGGGTCAGGCAGAGGGACGGCGACCTTGGGCAGGTGTCTTGGGATCGCGCGAGCGGGCCCGACCTCGTCTGTCTGAGGCTGTGGGAATTTGGAAGGTCTAGATGCTCTGTCGTCTAGACCTCTGGACGCTCGTGCTGGGGCTCTGTCGACGGTTCCGTTCAGCCAACGGCCGCCCTCCGCACTGCCTCGTCGGCCGAGCGGGCCACCTGCAGCATCAGTGCCTCGATTCACACCCGCCTCACTCAGCCTGTGTGCCAAGGTGCCAGGCAGAGCTGGAGGGGGCCCGTGTCTGTGGAACCCGTGTTACTGGGACCGGCGCCTGGCGTGAAGCAGGGAGTGTGGCACCTGCTCAGTGGCTGAAGAGCTGCTCAGAAGCCTCGCTGGGGTCGAGAGCTGTTAAGCTCTCGTATATTTAACATTAAATGTTTGAACCTCAAGACCCAGGCATCTTAAGGTGTCACATCAGGAACAGATGGCGAGTGAGGCCAGCGGGCCCCCGCGCCTGTGGGAGGCCGTGCTGAGGGGCATCTGCAGGGCCCCGGCGGCGGGCGGCCTCCAGGCAGGCGTGTGGTGTGGCCCAGGGCCCGCCATGCTGTGCAGGGCGCCGTGGGAGACCTGCCTGCTCTCGGTGTCCCTGCTCCGCTGGGGTCTCGCGCAGGCGCCTCTCCGGTGCTTGAGGGCGCCTAGTGACCTGCCGGATTTCTCTTCTCACGTGGAGGCTCTAAAACCAAAAAGTCGCTCTTGGGGTTGGAGGGAGAGGAGACCAACAAAACACAACCACACAGAGCACGCTCTTCTCTGAAGTCACCCTGCAGTGCTGGGAGCTGATGCTGGGGGGCAGTGGTGATCTGGGGGTGCCCAGGTGGAAGGACAGTGCTGGTGGAAGGTGGGAGAAGGCCCAGCCTGGGAGGTGTGCCCTCTGTCCGGAAGGAGAGGGAGCCAGTGTGGCGTGTGAGTGGGAACTGGGGGCCTGCCCTGGAGCTGGGTCTCTGCGTTAGCACCGCTGACCCCGGGCGTCCTTCCTGCGCTGCAGGGTGCCGAGTGGCATCCCTGGGCTCCACAGCTAGGTGCCAGAAGCACCCCCAGCTGTGACGGCTGACGCCGGCTCCAGACCTTTCCCTGCATCTGGAGTAGGGGTCGAGTCACTCTGGGTGAGAGCCATCGGCGTGGAGGGTGGATCCAAGGGGGAGGAGGGGGTGTGTGTGTCCAGGTGAAACTGGGGAGGTTGGGAGTTTGGTCGCTTTTTAAGAAAACAGACCATTAGAACCCACTTAGAGCTCAGTAACCGGTTTAGAGTCAAAGGCTCAGAACAGCGGAGCATCAGCGGAAGCACCATCCCTGGAGGGCCGGCATCCAGCCCTGTCCTGGTCCTCGTCAAAACGGCAGACTCGGGGCCAAGAGGGCCGCTGGGCTCCGTTGTGCACACACCGCACTGGCGGGATGCGGGTTCTGCCCCAGGGCTTGAGGCCGCCTTCCTGTCCAGCTCCCAGCTGACCCCGATTCGAGTGGGGACAGTCTGGCCTCTGCTGGGGACACAGCCCAGGTGGAAGTCAGCGCGGCGATGACGTAGGACCGCCATCCTCCCTGCCTGCGGGGCGGGGGGGAGGAGGGGGCACTCACAGCTGCCTCCTTGCCTGCCTCCGCAGAACAGAACTACTGTGAGTCCCGGTACCACTTCCTGCACTCCAGCGACGGGGAGGGCTGTGCCAACATGCTGGTGGAGTACTCCACGGCCCGGGGCTTCCGCAGCGAGGTGGACATGTTCGTGGCCCAGGCTGTCCTCCAGTAGGTACCCGCTTGCTGTCCGGCCCTTGCATCCGTGGCCTCCTGGGGTCCAGGGCTGGCCTCTGGTTGAGCCTCGCGTGAGGACAGGCCTGAAGTCACTCGGTGTCCCACACGCAGCTCACGTCCCCCAGTGTGACCCCTGCTGCTGACCTCCGGGCACCCCAGACGTGCCCCTCAGCTCCCCTAGGCCGACTTGTAACGTTTCCATTGGCGGTAGAAGTACTTTCTGTGCTTTAAATCAGCGTTTTGTTGCTGTTGAGTTTCTCTTTTCCTCATCATCTATCACGTTTGGGGGCGGTGGTTAGTGTCGTGCAACTATTTTTTTTAGGACACGTACACTTACCAAATTTTCAGCCTCCTGGGATGTTACGTGCGCGTGCATCACAGCCTTTGTTCAAAGGCCGTTTGCCTTCCCAGGTGTTTTGTGCGTCCAGACACAGTGATGGGGGAGTTGCCCGCCCACTCCGCACCTCAGCTCTGTGTCTCTGCCCCTCTGTCCCCGTTGGGCCTCCTCCTCTTTTGTTTTCTCTCAACAATTTATTTTGAAAATACTGAAACACAGCAGAGTCGCTAGAGGCATGAGCATCCCGTTGGGCTCACACAGCCGAGAGCACACGTTGGGTGACCTGGGGCCTGACCTCCCTTCCCACTGGACCATGTGTTTGTCCCACCACGTGCCTGTCGATGAGATTACTCCCTCCCAGAAAAGCACTTGGATCTGGTGGCCGGGCCTTGGGATGGGGTGTGTCCCATGAGTTGGGGTGGACGGGGAGCTTCCGAGCTCTGACATATCACCACTTGTTGCTGAATCTGTGACTTTGAAAACGAAACCTGTTTAAAATCCAGAACTCGCTGGCCCTGGCTTTGGCATGTGGTGCCAGTGTTTCCTCTGGCGTGAGCCCTTTCTCGTCCATCCCTCTGTCGAGGGCGTGCACCACAGTAAAGTCTGGCCGTGGACACGCCCTCCACGGGGCGGAAACAGGAGCCGGGGCAGCCTCTGGGCCACTGTGCTCTCGCGGGCAGGGGCAGACAGGTGTGGGACAGGTTCAGGGAGCCCTGCTGTCTCCTGGATCTGTTGACCTTGAACACGTCACCTTCCCAAGTTAGTTGTCCCCGGCCGTAAACCTTGGGACTCCCTGGGGTGGCTGGTCCACGCGAGGGGCCTGGCTGGTGCCCTCGGTGTGTTGCACGGGGGCACGGGCCACATGGGGCCCTCTGGGCAGGCGCTTGTAGAAACCCGTTTCCTCCTCCTCCGGTCAGGTGTGCCCACTCACTGGGATGTTATTTCCAGGTTTCTCTGTTTAAAAAACAAAAGCAGCGCGTCAGTGGTGTTCACGACGTACACACGGAAACACCCGTCCATCGAGAGCGGCCCTCCCTTCGTGCAGCCCCTGCTCAACTTCCTCTGGTTTCTGCTGCTGGCCGTCGATGGGTGAGCGTGCCTGCGTGCGTGTAGAGGCGTGTGGGTGAGGCTTGCGCACGTGCTTGTGTGGAGGGGCGCACACGTGTGCGTGGAAGCACGCAGAGATGTGTGGGTGAGCGCGCGTGGGGGGGGGTGGAGTCGTGCGGTTTCTGTCCACGTCCTTGGTCTCGTGTGGGCATCGGCTATGCTGTGCTCTGTCCTGTTCCAGGGGGAAGCTGACGGTGTTCACGGTGCTGTGTGAACAGTACCAGCCATCCCTCCGGCGGGACCCCATGTACAACGAGGTGAGGGGCGGGGGTCAGCCGCTGGAGGGGGAGGGGGAGAGACACTGTGCGCGGGGTCCGCGTGCAGCCTCGGGCTCAGCGCCCTCTGCAACCACGCCTGTGCCTCTTCCAGTACCTCGACAGGATAGGACAGCTCTTCTTCGGTGTGCCACCCAAGCAGACGTCTTCCTACGGAGGCTTGCTAGGTGAGGGGCTCGTGGGGCGGGGGGCTCATAGTCGGGGCTTGTGGGTGAGGCCCAGAGCGTGGTGTGCCGGCCGGGGGAGCAGGGCAGGCAGGGGCCTGGAGCGGGGCCTGGTGCCAGCAGGAGGGTTGCGGGCTCCTAGCTGTTTCCCTCTGCGTGTTCCCCAAGCAGAGCTCGTACGGCCCCCGATGAATAATTGTCCCCTGGGGTCCCTCTCCGTTGGCCACAGGATCGAAGCCAGATTTCTTTTTGTGGTACATACAATTCCCCACCTTAACGGTGCTTAAGTACGCAGGACCTTTGTGTGAACTACATGTGCGCTGCTGTGCAGCGGATCTCCGGACCTTTCCGTCTTCCCAAACTGAGACTCTGCCCCCATTACACACTGGCTCCCAGTGCCCACCCCCTACTTTCTGTCTCTGTGAACCTCCAGGGACCTCTCACATAAGTGGAATCACACAGTGTCCTCCTTTGCCGGCTTATGTCACTGTCAGGTTCAACCCTGTTGTAGCAGGTGCCAGGATTTCCTTCCTTTTTAAGGCTGATTCATGTTCCATCGTGTGGATAAGACTGCATCTTCAGTGGACACCTGGGTTCTTCCACCTTTGGCTGCTGTGAATGTGGGTGTACAAGTTACCTCCTTAAGGTCTTGCTTTCGGTGCTTCTGGGACAGCCAGAAGCAGAATTGCTGGGTCTGTTTAATGTTTTGAGGAAGCGCCACACTGGGATCCCGCAGCAGGGCACCGGGGTCCCGGTTCCTCCTCGTGCTTGCCAGCAGTTGCTGTTCTCTGGCCTTTTTGACAGTTGTCATCTTATTAATGGGTCTGAGGTGGTGTCTCTGTTTTGATTGTCCTGATTTGCACTTCCCTAGTGACTAAGCACGTTGCGTATCTTTCGCGTGCTTATTGGCCATTTGTGTGTATGCCTGTTCGTGTCATTTGCTTATTTTTGAATCATGTTGGTGGTTTTACAGGTTCTCTACACTGGGTATTAATTCCCTTCCAGATATATGATTTGCAAATACTTTCTCCCATTCTGCGGGTTGCCTTCTTTATTTTTTTTTAAAGACTTTATTTTTTTAAAGCAGTTACAGATTGACAGCAAAATTAAGAGGACGGTACAGAGATTTCGCATAAATACCCCTTCCCCACCACAGGCACGGCCTCCCCATTATCAGCATCCCCCAGCAGATGGTACATTTATTACGGGTGAACCTGCATTGACATGTCATTATCACCCAAAGTCCAACATATTGATACATAAATTAGGGTTCATTTTTGGTGTTTACCTTCTGTGGGTTTGGACAAATGTGTGATGACATGTATCCGCCATTACAGTATTGTGCAGAGTCGTCGTGGTGCTCTAAAAAATTCTCTGTTTTCCACCTGTTCATCCGTCCTTCCCTTGTTGCCTTTTTACTCCCTGGAGTGTCTTTTGATGCACAAAATATTTTACTTTTCATGAAGTCTCATTTGTCTATTTTCCTTTTGTTGCTTCTGCCTTTGGTGTCATTTCCAAATCCAGTGTCACAAAGCTTTTGCCCTGTGGTTTCTTCTAAGAGTTTTATTATTTTAGGTCTTCCATTTAGGTCCTTGATCCAATTTGAGATGCTTTTTTTATGTGGTGTTTTACTTATATAAGGGTCCAGCTTCATTCTTTGGCATGTGGATTTCCAGTTTTCCCAGCACCAGTTGTTGAATAGACTGTCCTTTCCCCATCAAGTGGGCACAGAACCCTTGTCAAAAATCATTTGACCATATATGCGAGGGTTCATTTCTGGGTTCTGTATTCCATTGGTCGATATCTGTCTCTGTGCCAGGACCACACTCTTTTGATGACTACTGCTTTGTAGTAAATTTTGAAATGAGAAAGTGTGAGACTTCCAGCTTTGTTCTTTGTCAAGATTGTTTTGGCTATTTGAGTTCCCTGAGATTCCATATGAATTTTAGGATGGGTTTTTCTATTTCTGCAAAAAAATGTTTTGGGGATTTGAGATTTCATTAAATCTGTAGATTGCTCTGGGTAGTATGACATTTTAACAATATGAAGTCTTTTAGTCTAGGAACATGGGATGTTTGCGTTTATTCAGTCTAGGAACACGGGATGTTCGCGTTTATTCAGTCTAGGAACACGGGATGTTCGCGTTTATTCAGTCTAGGAACACGGGATGTTGGATATGTTCAGGTTTTGTTTTGAATTTTTCTGGAAAAGCAAACACTAACATGCTCTAAGTCTTTTCAGAGGTTTATGCTTCTATTCCACTGATGGTTATTAAAGGAGATTGTCCGGTGTGGCAAATTCATAAAACCAGGACATTTGGTGATTAGGTTTTCTTACAGCAGCACTTTGTACTGGCTCTGGTTGGGATTTGCCTTTTATTACAGCTGTTGGCCATTCTCTCTCAATTCCTGTGAGACTTGCTTTGGTTATAATTAGTATTTAATATTTAGACTATTTTACTGAGCAGACTTTATAAATGAGATATCTGCAAGGCACTTAAGGTGTTACAGATGTTTTACCTTAAAAATTATTTAAGTTTTATTGGGTTAAGACAGTCTTTTGGTGTACCATAAATGTTGTATTTTCAGAAAAAGATAAAATGATGGTGCTGACTGGTTTTCTGAAGAGTTTTATGTATATTGCACAACAGTCCTCAGATATACAAAAACTACATAAACTAGCATTTTTTTCACTCTTGTTAGAATTGAAACTAATGCCTATGCAGTTAAGTTGGGTAAAACGTATACAGATGTTTCATATATTACAGGATACATATATAGATCAAAATTTCCTATATAAAACTAAATTTGGGAGATGGGGTGGAAATATTTTGAATATTAATTTATTTTTAAAGATGAGAGATAGGACTTTGTGCAATGTATTTTTGTAAATGCTTTTCAAAATATTTGTCATTGGTAGAGCTTCTTTTCGCTGCCACCAAATTGGTAAGATGCTATCGAAACGTTTAAATAAAGAGCTTTAATTTTTAAAAAAATGCATGTGATATTTCAGATGAACAATAAACAGTGTGTTTCTTTTCTGTACCTGCTTGGTCTCTGCCCCGGGCGGGGAGGGGAACACAGCGCGTGGAGCGGCCCCTCCCAGGACCACTCTGGGCCGGGAGCGCGTCCGGCCCGCGTTGTCGGGCCGCCGGACTCGGAGCCGCGTGCGTCCCCGCCGTGCGCGCCCCGCTCGCGGGCGTGTCTCCGCGCTTCCACACGAACCACTTACGAGAGAAGAGCGGCGTGTTTGGGTCTCGGACGTCGGGGCGAGCGCTGATCCGGAGCGCCCGAGTGGGAAAGCTGACCCGGGACCCCGAGCCGCCGGCATACCCAGAAAGTATTCATTGGAAAGTCTAAATACCTCAACGGCCTCAGTTACAGCAAGGACCACCCTCCCTGCGCCTGAGCTGCATTTTCCCAGCCGTCTGCCCGCCATCGTAGTGCCAGCTCCGCCCCGCGGGGTCACGTGCCGCCCTCAGCCGCGCCCCCGCGGTCGTCGTCTGCAGGCCGCGCCGTCACTCCGGAGCCCCGCCCTTTGATCGTGTGCCCGCCCTCCCCGTGCTGCGCGGGCACGCCCCTCGGTCACGTGGCCGCCCGCGTACCGCCAGCGTACCGCCCGCGGCTCCTTGTGAGCCACCGTAGAAGGCTTCGGGCGGCCGCCGGGACGGAAGCCGCGAGGCGCCGCCGACCGCGCCTGCGACAGCGTCAGCCCTGCGCGGAGCGCCGGCCCGATGGCGGCGGCGGCGATGGCCGAGCAGGAGAGCGCCCGGAACGGCGCCCGCAACCGCGGCGGCGTCCAGCGCGTGGAGGGCAAGCTGCGGGCCAGCGTCGAGAAGGGCGACTATTATGAGGCGCACCAGATGTACCGGACCCTCTTCTTCAGGTAGCCACTGCGCCGCGGCCGCCGCCTTCCAGGGCTTTCCGCCCGGCCGCCGAGTCCGGTGCCCCGCCCTCGGCCGCTTCCCATTGGCCGCGCCGCGCCGCCCCGCGCCCCCATTGGCCCGTGCCGCTGCCCGTCGCCTGGGCGGTGGGAGCAGGGGCCGTGCGGCGTCCGGGGGAGAGCTGCGGCCGGGGAGCGAGACCCCGGACCCCGACCCAGAACCGTGACCGAGACCCCAGACTCCGCCCAGACTCTGGACTCAGACGCAGACTGAGATCCCAGACCCAGCCCGGACTCTGGAAGCCGACGCAGACCGAGACCCCAGACCCGGCCCAGATTCTGGACTCCGGCCCAAACCCCTGGCCGAGCCCCAGACCCAACGCAGACCCCTGGTCAAGACCCCAGACCCGGCCCAGACTCCGGATCCCGCCCCAGACCCCTGATCCGCCCCTGACTCCGGACCCAGACCCAAAGCCCTGGCCGAGACCCCAGACTCCGGACCCAGACCCGAACCCCAGACGCAGACTCCGGACCCCAGTCCCCGGCCCAGACCACCCTTCCCCTCCCCCGCCCCGAGCGCCTTTGGGTTTGAAGCCCCAGCTCCGAGTTCCACGGTTTTCCTGCCTCTGGGAGTCCCGTCGCGAGGCTGTAAACGTCTTTCTCCTCTTGTGTAGCCCTTGCTCACCCGAGTGTCTTGTTACTAAACCAGCTGTTCCCATAAAGCCGGTATTTTTGTTGTACCTGCGCTGCCTGGCCACGTGCGGCAGTTGAGCTTCTGAAATGTGAGTCCCTAACGGCCTGGGCGGTGAGGGTAAAAACACGGCCTTCAAAGACTTAGCGCAGAGAAAATGTCAGGTATTAGGAACCTTCAACTCTTGATCGCACGTTGAAGTGATGCTTGAATATATTGGATTAAATAAATGTCTTTTTAGTGTGGCCTTAGGAATTTAGGTTTTCTTAAACCTAGCTGAGTTTTCTTTTGGACTGCAGTGTGTCACACCGTTTCTGCTGTCATGCAGCTACTGCTGTAGTTTTTTAGTTCTTACAGGTGTAAGGCATTCCTGTATATTACACACGTTCTGTTAGCCTTCAGGTTTCTTGCCAGAAAACATTTGAGACACTCGTTAGCATTTAAAGATAGTTTTAGAGGATTTCGTCTGTTCTGTGGAATGCCTTTTCGTCCTAAACTGCTGCAGAACAGCAAATACTTTGCTATGATATCTAAAGGCATTCATGCCTGCCTTACACCATTTAGGCCTAGATTTAAATTTTTTCTTTAAATAGCAAGTTGAATCAATATTTTGGGAACTCTGGCAGTACTTTCTGCTTTGGTTGTAGTTGGGTTTAGACGTAACGCTTCGTGTCCCAGACCGAGTTTGAGCTCTGTCGCCAGAGGACCCGGTAGGGGTGAGTTGATTGTTCTTCACGGGATGAGCCAAAGATGTAAGTAGGCTCTAAGGTCTGTAACGTCGAGCTTTCGGCCTGGCAGCTTAGCCAGTCAGATCTGTGTGATGGGGAGCTTTCGTAGCGCTCAAGATTTGTCGTGGTGCTTGCTTTTCTTGGGGACTTTTATATAAAGTATTTGCCCCGGTGACTAGTCAGCAAAACTGGATCTTCCCGAAGATAAACACGGTGTTCCTTGTTTTGAGCCAGTTCTGCAGTTGCTGCTGTACCAGGAACGTGATTGTTGATTAGCTTTGAAGAGGCCAGTCTCTGTGCGCAGAGTGTGCTTTGTGGTGACGTGGGGACAGATGCAGGCTGTCCACCAGCCCGGCCTTGACCTGGGTTCGCATTCTCTCTCTGCTCTGTGACCTGTGATCCAGGACTTGTTGAATCTCTTCTCTGAGCCTTGGCTTCCTCTTTGATCTTTTAGGGGTTCTTACACCTCTTCAGAACTCCTGAGAAGTAAGTGGTCTCCTGTGGGCCTCTTTGGGGGATGCGGTGAACTCAGGCACCGTAGCAGTTGTGGCCGTCCGGGGGCCCAGCTGAATAGGCCTGGAGTCGTCCCTGTCTCTGCTGGGTACAGTCCACGTTCAGACCTGCGCTTGCAGCCCTGGTTTAGAGCTCTGCACGGGGGCCCTGAGAAGTCAGCTTTGCTCTTTTGATGTTTTTCTATAAATAAGTGCTTTTAAGTGTTTATATAAAATGTAAAACTTGATGGGTTTGGACATATGTACACACCCAAGAAATTATCACCAATCAAGGTACTGAAAATACCCATCATCCCCAAAAGCTTTCTCATCTGCCTTTACAGTGAATTCTTCACCACTTGCCCCCAGGTGCCCGCTGATTTCTCTGTCTTGGTAGATGGGTTTGCGTTTTCTGGAGTTTTATGTATGTAGGATTGTAGAGTACGTCCTCTTTTTATGTGGCTTTCTGAATTCCCTCAGCACGATCATTTCAAGATTCGCCTTTATGTGTATCGTTAGTTAATTTCTATTGTTGAGTGCTGTTCCATTGTATGGGTGGACTACAGTTTGCCCATTCACCTGCTGGATAAGTTCACCAATCTGTGGTATTTTAATTCACTTACACTGTGTCCCCCAGCAGTTTGAGGAGGGGAGGAGGAACTGGGCAGCCCGGGAGGTTGGACTTATGGGGGGTGGGGTGCCGCCGCCCGGGGCAGGAGCCAATGGTTCTGAGAGAGGCTGAGCTCCGTCTCCTCGAAGGTGCGGGTGCCCAGGGCACTCCCTTGTCTCTTCAGCCTTCTCTCTGCAGGGACGGGAGAGGGTCCATTTTCTAGGCCTGATGGGTTGTTGGTACTTTGGCGACTGCTCTGTAGGGTGGCCTGTGGCCTGGAGGGGCCTCTGCACCCGCCAGGATTTAACTGTGAAAGGGGCCTCGCTGCCCAGGGGCCTTCCTGAGATGAGTGTTGATTGTGGGTGTTTTGTGTCTTAAATCAAATGAAGAAATTTTTTGAAAGAGGAACTTCAAACCTGTGTACTCAACCACCTGGGGGTAGGATGGAGCGCCCGGGAGAGGGCGTGGGGTAGACACTGCGTCTGCGTCGTTAGTGTTAACGCTTGTGTCTGTGCTCTGCTTTAAAAAAAAAAAAAAGTGCAAAATGAACGATTGCACAGACGCAGCGCGGGGGGGTGGGGGGCTGCGGTGGGGGAGGGGCGGTGGTGCTCTGAGCCCCCAGGCCTCGGTGGCACCCCGTCCCCTCCGGCTCGGGCACCGGGGAGCCACATCCGCCCTTGCCAGGGCTCTGCGGTGCCCAGAGAGCACGTCCGGCTTTCAGGGTGCCTGTCACTGCTGCAGGGTTTCCAGCTCCAGGCCCCCTCCT